GTGTCTGGTCTGCCCATAGATCTGCCATTGTGCGTGTACAACAAAACCCCTCACAGGTACAGTACATGCTGGCAGCATATGTCAGGAGATAGGGCACTGATAGAACATAGACCTAGATGTATGGGAATTTCTTTATGGGCCTGAATTCCCTAATAGAAAATTATTCCGATAATACCAAGATTGTTGGTTAAGTGGTATCTGGCTGGGCTCAAGAGTGGGTGTGTTCAGTTCGCCCCCAAGTCAGTTTACTGCAGTGCTGGTGTTTGGTGTCTGTAGGTCGTGTATAGCATTCTCCATGGCTTGGTATGATGATGATTTTTGCCTTAGTGCATGCCTCGGTTTTATTTCCGTACCAAATGTTGTGACTGTTGGTGTCTGCGATACAAGGAATTTGTGAATTCCAACGATTCTGAGTGTGATACCAAGCATTCCCCTCCCATCTCTCCTCCCATCTCCTCCTCTCTCTCTCCCTCTCTCTCCTCCCATCTTCTGTCTCCCTCCCCTCCCTCCTCTCTCCTCCCATCTTCTCCTCCCCTCTCTTCTCTCTCCCCTGCTCCCCCATTCTCGTCCCAAGCTGAGAGTGGTAGAACCAATAGACTATGAAGCAGAGCTCAGTTCACGAAGGAAGGAACTCGGACGAGAGAAATATCTCGGACTAATGCTCTTGCCCCTCAACATGACGTAGATGGTCAGCTACTGCATTTACTGACCGGCTTCTCAACATTCTCCATTCAGGTGGTCCATATTCTACTTACATTATTTCGGCCCATTAACAGCATACTGGTTTTCTTGCAGACATACAGTTTGCCTACATACGTTTGGGAAATTGTCTGCACGCACATAATATATACATACAAGGGGTATATATATACACATACTTGGAATCGTGGATGTTTTCTGTATGTGGGGCGTAAAAGGAGTTTGCAGGTTTTTTCTTTTGCAGGCCTTACTTTCATCACACTGTGACTTCAGCCGCAAGCAACACCACCTGCATAGCAACACACAGTAGAAACATCTTGTTGGGCGAAAATCTTGAATATTACCACGACGTGTTTGGTTACAGGATGGCACGAGGATTGAAATATCGGACTGAGCAATGCCTGTCCCTGTCTGGTGCTCTGGAAAAGACTGACTAACTCTTACTGCCGAGGTAACGGAGAGAGAATAGAGAGAGAGAAAGAGAGAGTAGGGAGGAAGATATTGCCCGGTGGCACATGTCGCGCACACACCACACAGGGTCTCAAGTTCTTCCAGCTCCAAGTGTCACCTTGTCAACTACTTGCAATTTCACGGCGATTTTTCCGCGAGTTTTGGGAAGCTTGCTGGCTAGGTGAACTGGCTCTATGCTCTGTGCCATACTGAAGACAATGAGAACTCACCCTACTCTCTCTTCTCTCTGACTCATTTGGCTCATTTTGCTCACCACTGCACCTCAGACTTCATCACAAATGGTGACAGATGCGTTTGAGTTGGACATAGTTGACGAAGAGGCCCTAGCAACCATGGTAAACAGAGTAACTAAACTAATATATCGTACTCTTCTATAGGCAGGTCTTTTGCCATCATACCCATACATTGGATTCGCCCATGCAACAGGTTACAACTGTGTGTCTACTGTTAGCTGTTGCTGTTCTCTACTTGTAATGTACAGATGAACCAAGCCAGCAGTGGAGCTCCACTGACGAAGAGGGGCTACCTCAGTAAAGGTCCATTCCCCTCAGACGGAGGAATCTCAGTCCTCCGATGAACCCTAATCGCAGAGAGGTATGAGCGATCAGCACCCCCTGGAGCCCCAAAGGCTGGGGGATACTTCCTCAATCGCTACAAGGATGATAGGGTAGCACAGGGGGATCGAACAAGGGTGTGATGTGTCTATGGAGTAATGTTCTCCGCCAGGATCGAAGGTACAAATCTGAAGGGAAGGATTCAGACAGGAAAACTGGACACTGTGTACTGAATCAGACTGTGAGCATCTCCTCACTACTTCTTCAACTCCTTCTTGCTTTGTCTTTTCTCTCCCTCTCGCCCTTAGTGGCTCTAAGCCACATTCCGTGATGTGTCACATCAGCACTTTGTGTACTTGCCACGCAGCGTTTATAACATGTGTGTCTGTAACAAACCAAGTGGCAATCTGGACGTGCTATACGTAATAAAGCCTAAAGATGAAGCACAATATTTATACATATTGTCTGTATTCTAGATTCTCGCCACAAGACTCATGGATTGGACATCCTGACGAGACGCATGAGAAGGTGTTACTACCCCACTGGCAGGAGACGCGCTGTGCGGCGAGGTGGGGCGTAGGAGTGGGCAGAGATCATCAGAAAGCCATCGCTGAGAAGTGGAAGAGAGCGACGGACACAGTCAAGACCTAGCCTGAGACACTTTTCGTACTTCATACCGAGCAGAAGTCTAAAATTGACTCTCCCTCTCTCATCTCTGTCTCCAGTGGCTCCCATGACGTCCTCGACAGCTACCCAAGGGGAGACTCTCCGAGACTCTCAAGAAAACGGAGATTAAACCTGAACACCTCCAGTATGTAGAGTAGCACACTGGAAAGGGAGCTCTAGTTGCTTGTTCAAATCTTTAGTCTTGTCTTGCTCCTACTAACTTTCGCTAACTTTTGCTTTCTTCCTTTTTGCTGCATCTCTCTCTCAGCTGTGGCTATCTGTTGTTCTCCTCCTTTGACCAGAGGTGTCAAATTCTCTCCATGGGAGTCTGGTCTGACAGAGAGGAACCAAGTCAGATATCCTCTGTTCCAAGTCTACCCTGAGTATGCTGGTCAGTTAGCCTCATTCACCTTCTCTCCGCCCTTCCCTCTCGCACTGGTCGCTCGTTCCTTTCTTCTTCTTCCTACTCTTCCTCTCTCTCTCTCTCCGATCGAGGTCCCAGACCAGAGAGCCCAGTCAAGAGTGCTGCCTCCAGAGTAGAAGTTGGCTCTCAGATGTGTCCGTAAAACGCAAGGATTCCAGTTCAAACTGTCGCAGAGAGTGACGACAAAACAAAGCCAGAAACATGTACACAATCACTTGCTGAGTAGAGGGAGCTTAAAGTTAGACTGGTGGTATCAGGTTTCAGTAAGACATGTAGCTGCCTCCTCTTAGAAACCCTGCATAAACTCTACTCTATCGCTGTTTATTTCTACGCCTCTTCAGTTTCTCATCCAGCTGGAGCCTTCTTCCTACGCTGTGTGCTCTATTTTGATGTGCCCCGCAGTGGAGTGAGCTATGGAGGATTTCCCCCGTCGACGTGAAACTCTGACCCCCTCCGAGAATTCTGCTGCCCCCGTCCCCAAACACCATGGATACTGGGCCACACCCACCTCCAAATACCATCAACTCACAGTGGAAGTAAGCTGGTGACTTTTCACTAAAATTTTGTATTATGCCACTAAAATTTTTGCCTCTGGCAACAGCATTGGCAAATTACACAAGTCTGTTCTACCGTCCGTTTGCATATCTCTTCCGTAATATTTTGGGGCGTACTATATCTTGCAACATTTTGTATCTCTCTCGCTATGATCTGTACAATGTGTCTGCACGGCGGTGTTTTTCTGTAACTTCAGCCTCATGCGGAAGGTGGTATCTTGCCTGGCCAGGATTGAAAAGGTCAGTTCTCCACCCGGAACTTTAGTAGTGTCCATAGGAAGGGGTTGCCATGGAAATGCCCATGTTGACTTTGCCTATACAGCCTCCTCAGGTGCTGCAGGAGGCATCACACGTGTGGCAGAGCCTACATGAAGCTGGGAATGCTGTCAATCAACTTCAGAGGATTCTGCAGCAAGTTCCCCTCCTGTGTCAGTCGTACCTGGGGACCTACCCCACATGCCTTTTGCCTGGGCAGCTCGGTCGACATTCCTACTATATTAGACGGCTCTATTATCTTATGTAACCTACCACATGCCTTTGCCTGGGCATGCTCGGTTCACATGTGCTACTATATTGAGACTCCTCTATTAGCTATTTACCTACCACAGTGCCTTTTGCCTGGGCAGCTCGGTCAGACATTCTCCTACTATACGGTTAGACTCTCTATTAGCTATGTAAAAATGGAGCCGTCAATCACTTTCAACTTTCTACAATCATTTAAAAAGGTTCTAGCTCTTCTAAAGCCAAGGAATTCATCAGCAGATTGGTTCAATAATAATGCACAATAAACTTAACACTCACAACAATTTGAGCTCTTTGCATCGTTGTCTCGTGTCCTCCAGCGGCCGGTGTTTGCCAGTCAGGAGGGCCACAAGTTGGACCTGACGGCCGAATTCACTGCTCTTTACAAACAGAGAGAGAGAGACTCAGCACGAATAGCTCCTCACGATCCTCGCTGACTTCAATAAGTCTGAGTTGGGCACACGCAGATAGCCCTGTTGATGTGTTGTTGTCTGTTGCCAGTATGCACAAGGCCAAGCTGCATACCATCTCCTCGGTGTCTGGTGTGGTGACGTAGTGGCCTAGCCCTCCACGAGCAAGACTTGTGAGCTGCAACTGACTGCCCCTCATCGCCTCAATCAACTTTGTCTGCTCCCCTATCTCACCCCCAAACTGCCTTTCTTTCCCCCTACTCTCTACATTCTTTGCCTGGTCCATCAGTTTGGTTACGCATAAGCTCTCGTCTTCTTCCAAAACTAAATAAGTCCACATCTCTCATTTCTTCTCCATCCCTCCAGCCACCTCACCATTTCCCTGCGCCAGTCCGCGTTCGGGAATAGGAATGAGGACTGACAGAGATGACACAGACACGCTTCACGTCTCCCCCTCCCTGCCCCCCGTGTCTGGAGTCCAGGAATTCCTCTCGGGGGGGTTTCCCACCACACCATCAAGAAAAACGCCCCCCCATCGACCCCCTCTCTTCCCTTCCCCACCATCTCTACGCTCTACGTCTACCCTGTAACTCTCAAATATGACTCCCAAAAGGCCTTTGCAAAGGTAAAATCATGAAGCTTGTAATGGAGTTTGGGGATGTTGCATTGTTAGGCAAATACCACTCAGCTAATTGAGATTTTGATCTTTCGTTCGTTGTTTTTTCTTCATTGCAAATCGCAATGAGAGAGTTCAATTTACATGGTTTTTTCGACGCGCACTTAACATTATGATTTCTTTGTATCAAATCTTTCCCCGCATGCCCGGCCATATCGTGCTGGGTCCCATTCAGAGCAGTTGATGTCAAAGGAGCCAAGGCCTGTCCTGTTCATATATCTGCTTCTGCTCCAGGAACAGTGTTCTGTGATGGACTCCACACTACCGTCCTTCACCACTGTACCTCACCCACCTTCTATACCGAGGTTTGATGACGTCATTATGACGTAATCCACTGGAATTGTGTGTATGCTCGTTTCAGGTGAAGCTGAGTCTGCCGATAGCTCTGTCTCCATCACATCATCTCCTCTTCACCTTCCTACCACATCTCCTGTGACACGTCGCCACAAGACAGCACACAGGCCAAATCCTCCATGAAGACACAGCCTCCCCCTGAGACAATCGTTGAGCCGGTGATTGTTCACTTACATACAAAATGAAAAATATTGTCTTTGTTTTCGTTTCTCTTGAGTCAGTTGGGTATGCTTGGCTCCTCCACTCTGGGTTGATGAACAAGGAGGTAAGGCATATCTCATGACCTTTCTAAAGAAAGAGAAATAGAGAGAGATAGAGGAGGAAAAGAGAGCTAGCGCTATCCCACCTCTCTCACAGATTTCCAACCCATACTCTCATCTCTCTCACTCGTCTCCACTCTCTCAGACTGCTAGAGGACACACATTCTCTGCCAGTAGCTGCCAACCTACCACCAAACTACCTTCAATTCACTCCTCAAAAGTGTGCAATTACTCTATTACCACAGGGGGAACTAGAAAATTTTAGTGATTTGTTTTAGTTTGAGACTGCCCGTGAAATGAAAATTGGAATGGTTATGCTGTTTCTCCTTTAAACGTTTGCTGTTCTCTGCAGGCGGTGCAGTGACCAGATGTGAGAATGGTGGGATTGACGGGCACAGACTCAATATTCAGAGTGAAACTAGACTCCAGTCAACTATATACACTCAGTTAGTATATAGTATGGTATATAGATGACCGATGGCACACTGTCATATTGTACACATCGCAGACTCAGCCTCTCATGCGTCTTTTCTCTCTGTGAGCAGCTGAAACATACCAGAGTGGCAGCTCCAACTGTGCCCTCCACACTGCACTTGAGGTCTCTCTCCCTCCTCTCTCCCTCCTCTCTCCTCACTCTCTCTACTATGTACCCAGCCACTCAGATTGCCTACTCAGTTCAGTGTGCCTTCTCAGCGGCTTGCTGCTCTCGGTGTAGATCTCCTTCGCGGATACCACTTCTGTCAGATTCCTCCATTCTTCTGACTCAGCTCGTTCACACCTCCTCTCCAATTCATCAAAGACTTGGAGACACTCAAGCCCGAGGTGTCAGGGAGCTCATATGATCATCACGTGACTGTCACGTGGATCTCTGGCCACGCGAGAACTCTTGTGGATTGGTGGTGACAAAGTGGGGAGGCGGGCAGAAGTGATTTGCTCAAATCCTACATCGAGGATCTACAGTAATTGCTACGACCACCAGATACGATGTTTAGATGAAAACAAAAACATACCGTACAATAGGTGCCCTGCCCTGAAAATTTGAACTCTTCATACTTTCGCTCTGTGATGTCTGTCTCATCCTGATTGTGTATCATCTCGTTTGTGACTAGATCTTGCCTTCCGTTGGTTCGATCTTCGTACCCATACGACTACTTATTCGCTGTCACCTGTGCTTACACCCTCTTTGTGAACTTGCTCCCTCCACCTGGCAAGACTCATGGGCTCATGCGCACTTCAGACAAGTCCCAAACAAGAGTGAGAACTCTGCAGGTACGACCAAATCAGGAAATAGTGGGGACTCACTATGGAGCACTCTCTACTAGCCACTTGTTTCCTTTATCCTCTTTCTCCCTCCCCTCTCTCTGATCCACCCCTCTCCGCACGTGTGGTCTCTTCCTCGACGATCATGTTGAAATGAAGAAGCATGGCACAGTACCGTCGGCATAGGTAGCCAGACCACGGATGCAGGTACACAACTAAAGAATCGTATGCTCACTTATCACATTTAGGATGTATGCAGCATAAAAAAATATATTGATATTATGAACGATTGGTCTTTTTACATGTACTCAGAGTTCTCGGAAGAGCCGATATCCGGAGAATTTTGGGTGGAATCTTCGCAACCTTGTTGCCATTCTGTTGGAGTACGTCCGTCAGAAACACTCACAACCAAGCAGCCAAGGTAGAGTGAGTCTCTCTCTCACTGTCTGCCGCTGTGGGTGTCGAGTTACTCCGTTTTCTATTCCCCCTGCAGAAGGCTAACAGAAGTCTGGCAAAGTTTATCAAGGTAATATAGAACATTCACTTCTGCATTATTGTGTCAGTGTATTTGATTGCTGCATCTCTCTCTCTCTGCATGTCTAGCAATCCTTTAACTTCATGGACAGGGGAGTGGGGTTCAAACTAGTGGCTCACTACATGGAGTCCTTCAGCTACAGAGAAAGCCCAGTATGTGTGTTGCAACATTAATAAGGCGCCATGTCGTTGATTGTTGGTGTCTTTCTGAAGTCTCTGTCGGATTTGAAACTGGAGTTTTTAACAATAATCTGCGAACACGAGCACTTCATACCTCTCAACCTCCCCTTCCCTGTCTCTGGTGAGTGGTGAACCAATCTCACTCCTTCTATCACCTCTCTTCCTTCTCTTTTCTTCCTATCTTTCTTCTCTCTTCCCATCCCCCCTCTCCCCCATCAGCTGCAGAGATGGAGTTCTCAGTGTCAGACGAATACTATCGCAAGCATTTCCTGATGGGAGTCCTACTGCGGGAGGTGGAGAGTGCACTGCAGTACGAGGCCGGGCCCGTCAGGAAACGGACCATCAGGATACTCCGAGACCTGCTGGCCAAACATGACTGCGACTCACGATACAAGGATCCTGTGAGTTTTAATAGGACTGTTGAGGAGAGTGTCCATGTGTCAACAACGAGGTAAAAACAGTGCACAGTAATGAACTACACCCAGGACAACTCTTTTTCCGAGGAGCTGCCCTGGGTGGGGTTCGAACCCATGACACTCTGCATTCTGCATGTGTGTGGTGGGCAAGACCCACACCTCTACCAGGTCTCTCTCTCTCCCTCCGTCCAGGGCCAGATGAGGAGGATAGCGCAGCTCTGTTTCCCTCTAGTCCCAATTGTCTTGTCTCACGTGAGTCGACTCAACTCGGGCCAACCTCCCTACATCAGCCCCATGCTGGGAGCCGCTGCCGCGATGCACCGGGTCCAGGAGGACAAGAGTGAAGTCTGTCACACTGACTCACTACCTCCATCTCTTCCTGGCAGTGAGTCCATCCTTTGTAACACTGACAAGCTTTCTTATATTATGAACCACTGTGGTACCATGGATACATAGGTTGAATGGTGAAAGTTGTCATCCTAACTAATGGAACCCATTATGTGTATGAAACACAGGTCTTCCGTCGACGCTGGAAAGAGGGGTGGACCCTGCCGTTATGTCCAGTGTCAAGAGTCTGACTAGTGTGGAGCTGGCAGCTGCCATGGGCCACAGATCGACTCCCAGGTACAGTATACTGGCTGGTGGGAGTTTGCAAACTTGTGTCAAAGTGGCAAAAGAGGCCTTGTATTAATTAGTCTGTTTCCCTCCTCTCCCTCCTCCTCTCCCTCCTCTCCCTCATCTCCCTCCTCCTCATCATCCTCTCCCTCCTCTCCCTCCTCTCTCTACTGTGTTC